CTGAAACAATGCCAGAGGGTGGTGCAGCCGTGTGCTGGAAAGGGTGGGTTCTCTGGGCAATCAGACCTAAGAAAGAATGCATAAAATCCTGTGAAACCTGCTCTGCTAAGAATACCCTCAATTTAAATGATAGAGGTCCCAGCACAGAATGAGTTTGCTTCCCAAAGTTTTACAGCCCTTTAGCTAACTGCTCCTGACACAGAATAAGCCCTCATAGTTCTTTGTATGCTATCTATTATTTGATCCTTACTGCCTGACAATGATTGATGACCTTTACCTGCATTCCTGTGCAAACTGACCCCAATAAAAAAAGCCCATTGAGGAACAGGCTCCTGGCCCTTCTCCTTTGAGAGATCTGCCACCTTTCCTCCCCAAGCAGATCATGTCTTGGTAGACTTATTCTCATCTGTGGCAGACGGTGGGGGTGGGGGCGCACCTGTAGGCAGAGCCCCCCACACCCAATCAATCCAAGATAATTCCACCATTATAAAATCCTTAATTTAATCACATCTACAAAGTCCCTTTTGTTTTGCAAAGTGCATGTTCACAGATGCTAGCAAGTAGGACACAGAGCACAGAGAGAGCTGGTACCCTCTCAAAGTAAAAACACACCAAGCCCTGGCTGGCGTAGCTCAGTGGATTGAGCACGGGCTGCGAACCAAAGTGTCGCAGGTTTGATTCCCAGTCAGGATACATTCCTGGGTTGCAGGGCATGACCCCCAGCAACCACACATTGATATTTCTCTCTCTCTCTCTTATCTCCCTCCCTTTCCTCTCTAAAGATAGATAAAATAAAATCTTAAAAAAAAAAAAAAAGACATACCAAGCTGAGCTGCTGCATCATATACCGTGAGGAGAACAAGAGGTGTTCCTGCTGAGCTGGCAACTAAACTGGTGAGACGTAGTACTAGAATGCCTGGAGAGAGCAAACTTTTTGAATGCTCCACTGCTTTAGATTAATGATCAGTACTTTCAGAGAATTTTAAACATTAACAACTAATAAGCGGCAGGACCATCAGACACATCTGGATGTCTCTGACTCCCATGTGTGTTCTTATAATCCCTGTGACAGACTGCTTCACATCCACCTTAAATCGATGCTTAGAATTTTCTCTAAGTCAAACCAAGGCCCTGACATAACAGAACTGCCTCCCCCATGCAGACCAGCCGGATAAAGAAAGAACCTGATGACAGGGGCCAGAGCAGGACAGAAAGCAGGCTCTATGCCCAGACTAAATGCTTTCACGTTTCTCTTTAGGAAGAGGAACTGCAAGAATGTGAACTTCGTGGTGCAGTTTTAATAGATTGCTTCACAGAAGTACGCCTGGGTTAACACATGCAGCACTGTGTGGATTCAGTCTCAATAAATGTGTCTTCATGGAGAACTGTTTTTATTTTCTAGAGATCCTGTTAACAGACCCCACCTGAGAGGTGAAGTTAAGAAATGATGGTGCTAGGAATATTCCAAATCACATTAGCTGGACTCCTTAAAGAGAAGTTTGCTCTAACAAGGTTTAGGTCTGTCTGGCTGTTTCTCTTCACACACAGGTAACACCTGAATCAATGCATTTGCTACATGAACTTCCCAGTTACAATTTAATAAAATTCATATTCTTCCATTTAATAATCCAGACAGTAAATTCTCTTTCCCTAGAACTCCTGAGACCGTGAAAAAGAGAGGAGGTTCTAGTACATGACCTACCCGTATCAGGCATTCATTAAATTATTGTTCAAGGACCCGTGAGCTCCTACACAAAGGCCAAAATAAACTACTTTCTTGCCACAAGATCAATCTGAGAAGTAAGATTATAAAATGCCACTGAAGTCCTCTCAATAAACATTAATATGGGGATTGCACAGAGAGAGAGAGAATTCCCTAGTACCCTAAGCATGCAGAGCCTTTTTACCCTACACACATTCCAGTCAGGGCAATATAGTGGCCACAAAGTCTTGGAAACATGAATACCTGAATTTGAATTCTGGTCCTCGTACTTGATAGTTATGCGGCCTTGGGGAAGTTGCTTAACCTTTTTAGCTTCTGTTTCTTCATCTCTAATGGTAGGATAATAAAACCAAACTTGTACAGGTTTTCTAAGCATGCAATGACAACATATGGAAAATCTTCAATAGCACCTAGTACACTGATGACAATGACAGTGATGGGTAATGATGAGCTGTCTGTGATCCTCCAGGGCAGACAGGTTCCCTGCTGTGTGAGCTCCATCTCTCTTAGGCACATGTTCATCAGGTTCTCGGGTAGCTGCCTACCTTCTCAGACAACATGCACTAAATCTCCAATGTACACATAAAGCCCTCCCTGACCTTTCAGCCACTACCAGTCCAACTCACTTGCTTATATTTTGCACACTTATATTTTGACCATAACTGGCTGACTAGCAGTGCTGCAGGTTACTCAGACCCACCCCACTCCCCATCCTGACCAGTGTTTGAGGCATACCCCCAAGGCATGATCATTTGTTAATGGAAGGGAGAGCCTAGGGCTTTTCGTGGACAAGTGAGCCATCTCTTCTTTTCTTGTTAATTTTCATTCCCTTTTATCAGCCAGAGCTCATCCCACTTTCTCTTTCTATTTGCCTAAAGGGTAGACCTAAGGGGTCCTTCTTAGAGCCTCAAAGTCTTCTCTATGCAGATCTTAATTACACTATAGATTGTTACACAGGCATTCCCTATTAAAACTAAATGTTAGGACACTAAAAAACACAAAGCAACACACAAAATCCAATCTAATGGACAGTAATGTGCACTTATGGAAATCATTACTCTCTATTTTTAAGGCAAGTATTTTTTACCACGCCTTGTGCCTCCCCAGCATAAAGTTATTCCTTAAATGCACATTTAACTGAAGTAACTATGAGATACTTACATTACGTAACTATGGTATATGCAGGGCTGCTCCTACTAATATAGAGAAAAGATGGAAAAAATGAATTTGGGTTTATCAACAACTTCCCTAGAAATGTCAAGTTGTGCCTTGGGCAGGTGCCCTTCCGCAGCGAGAAGCCTGCCTGAGCTGCTCTTGAGAGAAATCCGGAATTCTGCATCAGCACCCAAGAGGAGTGAGTCAGGAATGGAAGCACGTGCTCGTACCCAGCCAGGCTCTGTCAGTCCCCCAGAACTGTAGGCTGTGATGAAAGGGTTACCTGGAGGAAGGGCAAGTTTTCATGACCTTATTCTCATGCCTTCCCACAGTTAAAAAGGACATAAGACAGTCAGACACCTGAACATGCAAAGACTACACAATGTTTACAAATCACCTCTGTTTTATCTGAATTCACCAGAAAAAAAACAAGAGGTAAAAAAATTCATTTTTTCATGTGATTTACACACCTGAATAAAAAAATTACTTAAGCGCTTTCCCCTTCTAATTGTGTGATTTACCCTCTCCTAAAACACTTGTATTATAAACACTATCACAAATGCCAAGTTTTAGGAATAAAGGTAAGAACAAAAATTTTTTTGGTTTTAATATAAGCCCTAGAAAACTCTGAATAAACCATCAATACCAACTGGTAATTCTCTTGTAAAGATACAGGCCTTTGTTTGAAATGCTCCAGCTTGTCACATTTTCCTCCCCTTTGGAAAGAAAAAAAAGATACGGTCTATATAATTTTAGCAAGACAGTCAGTCTTTCCAGGCAAGGTCTGACATATGAGATAAGATGAGGAAACTACATTTTTTTCTGCTAGGAAAAAATGTTATTTCAAAAACATGAATATAATGCAAGATCTCTTCAACAGCCTTCAATCTAATCTTCAGTATAGATTTACAATTCTGCTGCACTGATGCACGGCCTGTATGGGACAGAATTCAGCGAACTTCTGCATATGCCATTCCCCTCCTTTGAAGTGTGCATTAATGACTACTTGCCTTTAGAAAACTATTCCTTGCTATGGAAAGCTAACCAACACACCCAACTTTTTATTCCTACTTTGTGAAATCCTCCTACGAAACAGAACAGGTTGTGAAACTAGCTCAAGAAAAATCACAACTTATGACCATCAATAACATTCCATTTGCCTGCCTCTTCTCATCTGAGCACATTACTGAGACCTGGGCAGAGAAACACCACTCAGCCAATCATGTCCCTCACTGGACTGACAGACCAAAGATGACCCAGTGGAGGCTGGAAGAACTGATGAAGGAAGAAGAACCAACATTTTATTTCAACAAGAAGTAAGCAGCCTGAAAAATAAAAGCTAAGTCAATTAGGGTATTTTTAGGTAAGCATATGTCTATTAGGGCTTTAGATCTTTCTTAGACTAAAACAAAGGTCAATAATAAATATCCTTTTGTACCTCAAAACCATGACCTCTAAAGTCTGTCCTCTGTTTATCATCTAAGAAACAGCTTCTCAGCCTTATAACCACAAACAATCCATACTAACCAATATAGTGAGTTTCTTAGTAACTGTCACGCAACAGTCAGGAAGAAGTTCTGAGTCAAACCCTTGTGAACAGGTGACATCAGACAGCAAAAGCTTGGTTACCTTTACTACCCTAACTCCATCAAGCTCATGAATAAAAGCTTCTACTTATTTTACTTCATACTTGCTTGTTCCACTCCTAAAATTTAGCCACCTTTTTACACTGTACGTATTCCTTCTCTTTTACCATTCACTTTCTTAAAAGATAGTAACATCTGTCACTTCAAGATACCAGCCACTTGCCTCCTAACACATTACTTGGTTTACTTAGTCCTAACAGCACAAATGGAAAGTACTCGCTATGGTTGCGAAAATGAAAGCCGGGTAAGCCACGTGTAAAGAGCAGCACACATATGTGAGTTGTGAATCCTGCAGCTCTGCAGACGTTTGGCAAAAGAAAAAGAACTCAAAGAAATTAGCAAGGGAAAACATGTTTAAGGTTTTCCAAGTCATTCTCATTTATAAGGACCCTAACCTCCTAAACCACAGCAAGAAAGACCAGAGGCAGAGTGAAATTTAAAACCAGAAAGATTTAATACGGAGTCATTGTACTCACTGTCTGATGGCTTCTGTCACAGTATCGCAGCCCGAAATAATCTATCTCCACAAGGTTTACGTGACGGAATACATGGTCAAGGACAACGGAACCTTTCGTTGACTTCTGCAAAAACAATGCACAGCTTTATCTTTATTTTTTAACAAGGTGTTTTGTCATTCTCAGGGGGACACAGTCACAGTTCTCATCTTTTATTAGCTTTGCTCACAACAGGAGCAATTTTATTAGCCCACAGTTCTCTCTATTAAGTGTTGCCTCAGTTACAAAGGAAAAGGGGTTTTTAAGTAAAGTATATTAAAGAAATTGCTTTGGAAAACAATCTTAAAATTGTAGTGGGTTTTAAATTAATATAAAGTTATTTTCTTATGGAATTAAAAATTATCTTCAGGACAAAATTTTTGATGGACAGCAGGATGACAACTAGTGGGGTGGGGGGAGTTAGGGGGTGGGATTGAGCAAAAAGGAAAAAGGAGTCATGGCCATAGACAACAGTGTGGTGATTGCTGGGGAGAAGCGAGTGAAGGGGTCTAAATGGCAATGGAAAAAATACAATAAAGATTAACTGTTTTTAAAAAAGAATCTTTTATAGCCCTGGTTGGGTTGACCAGCTGGTTGGAGCTTGGTCCCCTACACCAGAAGGTTGCAGGTTTGATCCCCTGTCAGGGCTCATGTCTAAACAGAGGATTCAATCCCTGGTCAGGGTGCGAATACAGGAGGCAACCAACAGATGTTTCTCTCTCACACTGATGTTTCTCTTTCTCCCTCTCTCCCTCTCCCTCCCTGCGCCCTTCCTCTCTCTCTACAATCTTTAAAAATATCCTCAAGTGATGATTTTAAAAAAAGAATCTCTTATATAAAGAGCATCTAATAAATTCATCAAAAAACACATTTTAGTTAAAAACCCCATAATCTTTTACTTTAAGCCATTTAACTAGTTACTCTCACAATTAATAAAGAAGACATAAAATTTTAAATAACAATAGCCAAGACTTTTATTTTCAATCCTCAACTAATAAACTCATAGGTTAAAGATGTAAATTTTAACATTCTGAAAAGCCCTATCAAAAATCATTTACTGTATCTCTTTCACATAAGCAAAAACATGAAGAAAACATTCCCCTGGGCTGCTCTGTAAAAGCTGACACCTATATAAAAATCTCATCTCTCTTCTCCCCCTCCCACTACATACACAGATTCTTGAAATTAAGATTGTTATCATCTAATAGCTTAAATAGCAATTATTCACACCTATGAGATAAACATTTAACCAGCAAGCACTATTCCACATACCACATTCATCTTGATAATAATCCATGTCAATGGTATACACAGAGATTACAGGCATTTCCTTTGTTTTGCCCATCATTGGCAGCTATTACAGGGTAGTAAAAAAAAAGTCCCCAAGAAGTCACACATTGTGTTAATGAAGCAGGGCTCAGTGTCAGTTTTCTCCCAGAGACTTAATGTTGCATGCTTACTCCTGTACGTGAGTACTCAATACTGCACTGTTTTTAGAAAATGAATTGGTAACATAAGAGAAATGTTTTAATTAAATGTATAATAAAATGGGTGATAAAAGCACACATTGGAAGAAAATAGTTCTTATTTCAAATCCCACAGGTATTTTGTTTTCCTCTAATTTCTCTTGGCTGAACTTAATTGGTCCCTTTTCAAAATCCATTAGATTTATAAACAAAAAACACCTCCACGATAGACTTTTTCAGGTCATTGGCATAATAACAATGCCACATCGAGTAAATACATCTTTGTGCTCAGTACCAATGCCTTCAGCTAGGGTAAAAATCTACAAATTACTCATGTGAAAGCTACGCATACTTAAAATTACAATAGGCACTGCCAAAACACCATTACAATTCATTCGATGAGAGTATGTTTCCCCACACCCTTGCCAAAATTTGGATTCAACAAAATTTTTCCAATCTGATTGAGCGAATAAAGGGGAAGGAGGTAACTGCTCTATCATGTGCTTGCTCATCAATTGCATTTCCTCGAATTTGGGTTAGGCATTCTCTAACTAACCCAAAGTTTATGAGCAAATTCTACTAAGTACTTCTAACACAATTTTATTTAGTATAGCTAGCTCTTCACACTGTCTAAAGATTATTTTTGTGCTTGTGATAAGAGCCTAATTTTGTTTCCAAGTGGACAGACAACTGCACCATTTTTTACCAGAAAGGCCATCATTTCTTTGGATTTGTAACAACTTTATCATCTACTAAATGAACCCTCATTATATCCCATGTAATTATGGGATTATTCCCATATGATTATTCCTCAACCAATCCTCTAAGATTTTAATGAGTTATGGTAGTTTAATTTGTTGATATCCAGCATTCTTTTTCAAAATTGTAAATTTTTAGACATTTTTCTCTACTAGAGCAAGTTGAGAAACAGCTTACCAATTTAATAAACAATTCTGTTGGGAAATCTGATGAACTAAATTTAATTGACAGACTTGGTGGGACATGATATTTACAAAGTAAAACCCATATGGTTTTCTTTCATAGCCTTCAAGGAAGTTTTATACTTTTTTTCATGCAGGTCTTATAAAATTCTACTTGGGCACTGTGGAAGGCAGAATTTATAAAATGGTTCCCACCCCCAAAATATATCCTGCTCTAATCCCTGGAATCAGTATGATAAATATCACCCCTGTGATGGGGTTATATGTCACAGTTGGCCTTAATATAGGGACTTATCGGAGTATATCTGCCCTGATCACTTGGGACCTTACAAGCAAAGCAATTACTCCAACAAAAGAGAAAGGCAGAGGGGAAGTAAGGCATTCAAAGCATGAGAACACCTGCACAGGTGCTTGCCACTGGGAAGACGAAGGGGGCCATATGAGAAAGCAGTGCGAACAGCCGTAAGGAGCTGAGAGTGGAACCCAGCTGACAGCCAGTAAGAAAATGGGAACCTCAGTCCTACAATCACAGGAATGGGGTTTTGCTAACAACCTGAGTCTAGAAGCAGATTCTTCCTTAGAGCCTTCAGATAAAAGCCCAGCTGACCAATGCCTTGATTTCGGTCAAGAGAATGAGCAGGGAACCCAGCCACACCATCACAGACTTCTGACCTACAGAATAAATAGGGGTACGCTTAAGCCTCCAACTTGTGGTAAGCTGTTACACAGCAATAGTAAACTAATATAGGCTTATTCTTAGGTATTTAATAGTTTTAGTTATACCTTATATTACTTTCTGAATGGCTATTGCTAGTGTATTGGAAGCAACTGACTGTATTACATTGGTCTATTTCCTAGTCATCTTGATAAATTCATATTAGTGAAGAGTTGTTTTTTCCCCTTGATGTTAGAGAAAGAGAAAAACATTGATTTGTTCTTCCACTTATTTATGCGTTCATTGGTTGCTCCTTGTATGTACCCTGACCAGAAATCGAAACCACAATGGAGCTACCTTGCCAGGGCTAGTGAAAACGGTTTTGGTCTATGGCCCTGACTGGTGTGGCTCAGTTGGATGGGGGTCATCCCACAAAGTGAAAGGTCGCTGGTTTGATTCCCAGGCAGGGCACACGCCTGGGGTGTGTGAGAGGCAACTGATTGATGTTTCTCTCACACATCAATGTTTATCTCCTTCTCTCTCTCCCTCCCTTCTTCTCTCTAAAAATAAATAAATAAAATCTTTTTTAAAAAAAAGAGTTTGCCTATGGAGTCTTTTCAAAGAGTAAATGTTCTAGTTTTTCCATTTCAGAATGCCTCCTCCACACTTCTTTCTTTTTCTTACTGCATTGGCTGAGGCCTCAATAAAAAATGAATGAGTTGTGAGAACATTCATCTCTTTTTCTAGACTTGAATAGAATTACTTCTAAAATTTCACCACTAAGTATTAGAATGACTGCACCCTAATCCTTTGTATATACCCTTTATCAAATAAAAGTTTCTTTTTATTCCTGCTTTTTGGTCTTCTTGTTTGTTTTGTTTTGTTCTGTTCTGATTTTTAATCAAGAATGGGTGATAATGTTATCAATTTCTTTATGGGAATCTGAAATGATTACATGGTTTTTGTTCTTTCATGTATGAATAATATTAAAAGAGTTTCTCGTGTCAAATATTCTTAATAGAGAATTTCCCATTTTAGTTCTTTTGTTGTGGGTGTAATATCAAGCTCCCTCCCTATTTGGAGAGGATTCCTACTTTGTGAGTCTTGGTGGAGGCAGGATCCAGACTCCCTAACACCTGGCAGCTGAGTGGTGACACATGACCTGGTTTCAGCCAAGGACTCTGACTTCTGAGTAAGTGATGCAAAGGTGAAGGAAATATTAAGAACTCACTCATCCAGAGGTGGAATCAACTGTGATAAGGAGTAACAATAAACCAATTCCTGAACCGGGTTTCCTGGCATTTTTGAGATACTAAAAGGGAACAGCCAGGCATTCCACCAGCCCTGTGAGAGCACTGAATATGTACATTTGGACCCGAGAACCACAAATCCTGAGTAAGTGTATAGGAAATTTAAATTGTATACTATAAATATCATGATACATACTAACTAGTTTATCATAGGAATGTGAGTACATCAAGCAGAATTCTTGATTGCAAACAATAACAATTGACTCTTGCTAAATAACCATGAAAAGAATTTACTGGAAAGAGACTCGGTGCCTTGCAAGTTCTATAGACATCACCTGATGGTTGCTTGGGTCTCCTCCTAATCCCCATATATCCATAGCCACTAAATTGGGAGCAATCCTTAATCCATCACTACCTCCTTCCATAGTCCTGCCCAGGTTTTGGAGTATGGTTTTCAGTTTCAATTGTTTCACATTTGACTTTTGCCTCAGGAATTTTTTTAATAGTTTCTGGCCGGCTGAGATCAGCCTTTCTTATTTTTCCAGGCTGCTATGGAAAATGCACACATATCTTTCCTATTACTTCAAAATATTTCTGGAAGGCTAGCATATGAGGCCAGTATTCCATCTTGATCTAATCTCCCTCTGGGTTCTTTCTCCCAGTGAGGCACAAGCGGGAATGGGCAGAGTAACTGGAACAGGTAGAGCCCACAAATCCAATGTAATCCTTCTGTCCCAGGCAGGTAAAGAAGTGCTTTGTAAACAAAAGGAGAATA